GCAGATACGTGGACGATATTTTAACGCCGAACCCATGCTAAAAAATTTATCAACAAGATAATGCTCGTCCACATACTGCGCGAAACAATGTCTTCAAGGATATGAGGTCCTACCATGGCCTGCCAGGTCACCAGATCTTTCGCCAATAGAGCATGTCTGCGACGCGCTGGGAAGGCAACTGCAGCCGTCCCGAGATACAGGAGAATTAACTGCGCAGATGCAAAGACTATGGCAGGATCTTCCACAGGGGGTCATAAGTGATCTGATTAAATATGCCACGCCGAATTTCGGCTTGTATAGCTGCCAGAGGTGGCTTTACTACTTACTGATTTTTAACCTTTTTGCAAGCTGTAACCGCTTAATAAAATGATATTTTGTTCTGAATTTTTAATCATTTGTTTATTTTCATATACACTACATGCATACCAAATTTCGTGAATGTAGCTCAATTTCTTCTGGGTGCATATATTTTTTTGCGACAGAGAGTATATTCTTTAATGAAATCAACAGCATGCAGTGTGTTATGCGTTGAACACATGTTGTGAAAACTATATGTAAAATTGTTGAAACAACAGAAAAAATAATTTGTAAAAATAAATGTATTTTTAAAAAAAAAAGAAAATAAAAAATCTAAATGAATTAATTGTTAGAAATTTGGGTAATTATATCTAATTATGTTAATAGCGTGGTAGAGACATCCATGATTAAGTACAGTAAATAATAATATTAAGGTGTAAATTTAGTAAATATACACGCAATATATGTGTCAGAGAGTGTGAGAACAATAAATACACAGGTAAATTTTATATCAAATTTTAAATTTTACTCTGATTAGCAATAGCTCAGAATGTTCATTGACACACACACACGAGTTACAGTTGATTTTGATGTGATCCCAAAATATATATACCGTAAAATCCGACGTATAACACGCAGCTGTACTTTCAAGTTGCATTTTTTAGTTTTGAGATATATTCGCCGTATAACGCGCACCCGAATTTTGTAAAGAAACTTGGAAATGTACGTGCGCAATTCTCCATGTTTTGAAGTCATTTATTTGAAGTGTTATCCCAGGTTTTTGAAAAAAATAGTATACCTCTAGAACTCTGCAACTCATTAAGTTCATAAAGAATGTAATTTCTTTTAAATAAAGAGTATTCCGATCTTTGTAGAAGTCTAATTTTTTTATGCTCGTCTCTTTTTTTAGTTTTAATGATCTCAGTTTATACCCGGCGTATAACGCGCTCCCGTAAATTTCGATCTTGTTTTTTGTGTTAAAAGAGAGCGTTATACGCCGGATTTTACGGTATTTAAATATATTAAAAACCTCCTAAAATGTTAGAAAATATTCTTAAATATCTATAAGGAATACAAAATACCCTCGAAACTAAAAACAATTATTAAGATCCGAAGAAATTATAAAAAAATACACTTAATAATTAAATATTACGTTTCTCTATACATCAGGAATGGACAGACTTTTCCAGGGTACGGCTACTTCTAATTTTTTCAAGGAGTTGCAGTTCACCCAGCGTCAGTGGCGCACATAAGGGCTGGGAAGGGCCTCCGGGTCCAGACCCTCCCTCATAACCTTTCTTTTTCTCCCGATTCATTATAGTCCCATGAATATAGAACGCAAAATGTAATTAACTATTTGATATTAGTATTTTTTTATTTATTAATGTTAATTATTTATTCAGTAATTTATTTTTTGCTGTTTTTTGTTTCCGACAATCGACAAAATCAAAAAAATATGTTTGGCTGCGTATTGAGGTATGATACGAGAATGGTAGACCTTCACACACAACCCCGACCCCTCCCCCCTCTTTCTTTAAAAATTCTTGTGTGCGCCACTGCCTAATGTCGTAGGTGTGGTAAGGTAATGGAAAAAAGGTTATTATTATAACTTAATAATAAGTACGGAATACCTCTATAGTACTAAAAAAAAAAAAACACTTTTAAAACCACGTTTAAAGCAAAACGCAAGTTACACAAACAATAATAATAGCTACAAATATAATAATATCAAATGATGCATCATTTAATATGAAACAATTCAAAATACATTAAAAATAAAACATTTTTATCTAAAGTTAGTTTTATTATAGTTAGTAGAAAACTTAGCCTGCGCACCGTCAGCCAATCTTGAATTCTCGGTATATGATTACTAACTGGTAACATTTTCAGGCGATCACCAAAAAATGTCTTTGTGGTCCATCGGTCGATCGCGATCGGCGTAATGTCTACCCTGGATATATATTATGTATATATAGTATATAAAATTTAACTATATCTGTGTATCAGTTTAAAGAAGACATGCCCTCAAAAATAGAGCCTTACTGATCAATAACTTCTGTAAACATTAATTTACTCACAAATTATAGCACAACAAGTTCGTTATAGATCCAGGGTCGCCCCCTTCAGCCGTGGCGTTCCAAACCAATCTGCCAATATGTTTAGGGAACCCCACAGTAGGACATTTTTAAAACAATTAGATTCCCGCGATAATGCATGCGGAGTTAGAGAATAGAGATCAATAAAATTATTTAGAGATATTTAAAGTTTTATTATACATTAATTTTGCATCATTTATATAAGGATACTTCTTAACATAAAAATAAGCAGCGCAAAATATACAACTATTTCATCAACAAATTTAAAATTGTACATGTGTATTATGTATTTTAAACATATTAAAATAAGAAATGGACAACATAAAATATAAGTATTTACCTTCATTATATTGTTAAATAAAAAGATAAATAAAAATTTTAATGCGAAGTTAGTGCATGTACCACCTATACTATCATATCGCAAAATCAGGGGTGTAATTTGAGATGTTCGATTTGACACGATTCTGAGCATTCAGTTGTAGAATTTCTTTGCTGATTCACAATATTTTCATATGTGGAAAGATTTTTTACCTAGATAGTATGTAGAACCAAAAGTTTTTTTTACCGATTGGGACTGTGGGTTTGTATTTTTACCATTGCAGACCTAGTACATCCCCAGGAGCTGGTATCACTCTTTAGTTCGGCACCATATATGCGATACCAATTAAAACAAGTAATTTTGATGCCCCAGAGGAAGGCACCTGAGCGCTAACGATGTGAACCTGTTCCAGAATTTAATTTTGCCGAGAGCGCCCAAGCCTAACAGACACTCTAGAGATCTTTAACATGCCGTATGATCATACGGCATGGCCACTGTCGATTTTCTGCATCACGAAAATCTACCGACTTGGGCCGGGGTCAAACCCGCAACCTTGGGTGCAGAAGGCCAGTGAAAAACCAACCACACCACCCAGCCGATTGTAGAACCAAAAGTGTAAAACAAAGTACATGCAATTTTCTTTCTTCAAACAATTAAATCTCTCCAGCAGTGCCATTCATTAACCTGAGAAATAAAATACAGTTGAACCTGTTTTTTTGCTGTTGATAGGAACCTCACAAAAAATATTCGAAAATTTCATCAATTCTTACATATAACAAGTAAATTCGTCGAAATACTGCAGAAATTTTTTTATGCGGTCGCAGAAAAATAAAAAAGGACCGCACAAATACAGGAACGACTATAACCTTTCAAATTTTTTCGTAATTCTATAAATGTCCGTAATTCTGAAGATGTTTGTCGAATAAAATCCATTAGAAATTTATCAACTTCCATCCATTCAAAAACTGACAAACTTGTTGAATAGTGTAGAGTGCCACTGAGAATTGTACCCCGTGTCACATGGGGTACGCGTGCCATAGGTTGCTGACACCTGTTATAGATTGTACTGTGCGCGGTAAAATTGCGACCTGCGTAGTTTCTGTCGAGTCGTGGGTTCAGGTCCTGGAAAAACGGCTGAAGGTTTAAAAAATGGTTCAAAATTCTCACGTGAAGGGTTCTAGATTATGGAGAGAGTGAGGTGTAGCTCAAATGTAGACCTTGTAGCCAGGGCTTCTAACCAAACGGAATCGATTACCGAAAACCGGAAAAAAATTATTTTGGTTAGAACGAAAACTGGAACTGAACCGAAAAAATACCGGTTAATTTCGTTTCGAATATCTTCAGTTATTTGGTTACCATAGAGTGTGTGACGGATCTGTACTGGATCTTCTCACTAACCATCTTGGGAAATCTTTGGGCTAGCATTCGCGTTTAATTCACATCCCTCTCAAGAAGAAACCCTGATATGTAGATTAGTTCGACTATATAAAGTCAAAGTTTTGTAATTGTAGAGAAGAAGGAGCTGAGAAACTGTTACAGTCGCCACGAAGGAGAGATAGATTAAAGTTTATTTTCTCAGTTTAAGTTTAAGAGCAGTGTTCGCCACTGTATTAAATTAGTGTATTGGGGATTTGTAGTCAACGACAGATTAGGTTAAATTAAATTGGTTACTTGCGCTTGTTCACTTAAGGTTTATTGCTTTCTCCCTATCACTCCTAGGACATTCACTTAAAAAGTTAATCTGTTGTTGATTAGTGTGCTTAAGTAAAATAAATATTGGTTATAATGGAAGTTTCTGGTTCTGCTCTTAATTCTCCCCCACTCTTAGGTAAGCAAGACGGTGAAGGAACAACTTCAGGGGTAAGTCGCTCACTAATGAAAATCGCTAACACGAAACTGAGAGAACTGAAATATTTTTTCGTGTTCAAATGATATTGGGAAAAAACTGATATATTCAACAAAGTTAAAAGTTTTTTAGAGTACATTTTATTCGCATAGATGTGTATATATTCATGCATTTAACAAAAATCAATGATACAAAAGCATTCACAACTTAATGAAATTTAACAAAATTTTCCAAGTTTTTTGAAAAGCAAAACATTTATTGCATTTTTTTAAGGTATACTTCTTTTGGGGCGTTAGGGAAGAAAGATGAGGGTAAATTTTTACGATGCGCGTGCGCACCGTCACGGATGTAGAAATGCTTTGTTTAGAAATATACAGAACGGGGCAGATCATTTCCGCCTTCGAAATTCTCAGAAAAATATTTCTCTTCACTTCCCTGAAGAAGGGGACACCCGGGTTTGAATCTGGGACCTCTCAATCTGCAGTCGAATGCTCTACCATTGAGCTATACCCCAGCGTCAGCGAACCTTTGCTTTGCGTTCTGTAGGAACGGATACGAAAATGCTTTGTCTAGAAATATACAGAACGGAACAGATCATTCCCCTCGCCTTCGAATTCTCAAAAAAATATTTCTCTTCTCTGAAGAAGGGGCACCCGGGTTTTAACCGGGGACCTCTCGATCTATCACTGAGCTATACCCCCACTTCAACAGACCTCGTCGTCGATGCTCTACCACTGAGCTATATTATTCGATATCTTCCATTTTGTTATTCATTTCACCATTGGAATGTGCGTCTAAATAATTGCACATACATTTCATGATGCTTCTCGTTTCGAATGACGTGAAAACAGGAGCTGAATTAATAATTTCATTTTCACCGTCGGAATCAATGGTATCAATGATATTTTTTAGCTTTAAGCAAACCCCAAAATCTCTTTGTCTGCTATAATTGGCGCTGCACACACATTATCATCCTCTACTGCAACAAATTCTTCCTTTGATACAATAGGACAGTCAAATAATACAGAAAAATAACGAGTGAAACCACCTTTCATTTCTCACCTCTTAAAAATCTCTGGTGTTTTCCGTATATTGTTCATTCCCAGGAGGAAAAACTTTTCGTGTTAATCGATTTTCGTTTCATGTTAAGAAATATAAGAAATAAAATGGATGAAATTACGTAGTAGTTTGTCGGAATCGTTGTATTATTTCGTATTAACTGATATTTCATCTTAAACGTTTTCGCATTAAACGTGTATTTCACTGTAATTATCATCATTACATGTGGCCGCGGTAGCCGTGTGGTATAGGTATCGGACTGTGGCTTGCTTTGTCACAGGTTCGAGCCCAGTACCACTAAAGACCCGCCGTGTAGGGCAGCGATGCACGTTAAATCTGTCGAGAGCTGAAACGTCCTCCCGTTGGTGTGGTGTGGTAGTTTAGGAGAGGGGGTGCCAGCTCAGGTGTCGTCCACGTCACTTGACCATGGTTCAAAATTACGTGATCCGTTTCCAAAAAGCCCTCGTGTAGCTGAACAGTGCGACGTTAATATTCAATCAATCAATCATCATTACATGTATATTTCTTCTTGATTTCCTGTTTTGATGGTCACTAGTACTTTTCTATTTTAGTTTCGCACGAAACTACTTCTAGAAGGAAGATTTAATCCAATTGAATGAACTAGACGTATAGATGATTTAAGATAAGAATATACATAAAATAAAATTATACATTCGGAACCGAACATCAAAAACCGGAACTGAACCGATATATTTTATTGTTAGTTAAACTGGAACGAAGAAATTACAGTTAAGAGCTCTGTTTGTCGCTCGATTGTTCAAAATAGCGAAGTTCATTATCAGTAATCATCGCGTTGCTTCAGAGTGTTTCGCTAACAAACAGTAAAATAATGCTTTTTCGCTACCTAGACTTATATAACGACCAAATTTGTTAAAGTGACAAAAATTATTAAAAATAAATAAATAAATTTTTCTTTTTGTATAAAGAATATATTTTTCTACAAAATATTATTATATAAAACTGTAAAAAATTTGATTTTTTTTTCACTCAGGTACAATATAAAAGAAAAAAATAGCTATTTCCAGATTTGGCTAGAAAATCTGCTTTTAAAATTGTATAACTGTATATCTCTATTTTTTTAAAGATCAATTCATTTTAATTTATTAATTTAAATCTATTAACTGTATAATTCATCAATTAAAATATATTTTTTAAAATTTATATTGAAAAATAAGATTTATAAGTTTTATTACTGTATTCGTAGAACTAAGGAAATTCTGTTTTCACAGCAGAACTTTTTACACTGGTATAAAATTGCAGGAAATTTAGCAGTTTAGTACCATTAAAAACGTACTGTATTTTTAAAAGAGGGATTAAGCGAATTGATATAATCACAACGCCATTTTTAGTGAAATTTTCTGGATCCCTCAATTCAAGAAGCAATGCCTTAACTTACCGTCTCAAATTAGTACATGAGTTCGATTAAACTACTAATTGGGCAATAAATTAACATGCTGGAAGCGGCGTCAAACTGGAATGTTGATTTTGCATTAACTCAGTTTGTATTTTCTCCTGGAAAACAGTTTTTTTCTTTTCTTTTCTTTTTCGTAATTGGCTTTAATGAGCTATTTGAACATTTGAAACTTTTATTCTTGTTAGAAGAGTGCAGTTCATCAATTTTTGCTTGCTGCAAATGTCCATTAATCTTCATGCACTTAAGACCAGCTGATAAAGGCCATTTAAATGCCCTTTTTTTCTGAATGTTGCATAATTGGTCAAAATTAATTGCGCTGTTAAATGAAACGACCTACAATTCCTCCTTTTTTGATTTTCAAGGTCAGGATATATGAAGCAGTAATGTCTTTCGTTTGTTCCTAGAATTGGCAGTGAATTTTTAGTTACTTTAATGTAATTGGGAAATTTTGATTCATGAGATATAAGTTAAAGTTTTAAATAATACAGTCAATTAGTTATATATAAATATATATATACACTGCTGGACAATTGCTAAGGACGGATAACACTATCATCCATAGCAACCACAAAATGAAAGGAAGCAAAATGTGGAAAATTAGAATAAGTGCGGGATATTAGTAAGAAGAAGTATGAGTATGCAAATTTTTTTCCACGTCTGTTCATCACGTGATAGCGTTCATAAGAGCTTTAAAGGTTTTGACGCGGGTGGACAGTTGTTGTTTCAAGTCAAAGTTTTACAGGAAAGATTTAATAGACGAACTTAAAATTTTTGGCATGTCTTCCCGACATCACATAGAGGATTTTATGCGTGGCCGAATTATTGGAAAGATCGAAGAAGGGCGAAAAATAACAGATGTTGCCAAGGAGTACTACATCGCTCACAGCGTTGTTTCACGGCAGTGGAAGTCATTTAAAACTACTGGAATGTGTAGTAGACAGCACGGGGTAGGTCGTGTTAGAAGTACGACGCCTGCAGAAGACAGATATATCGTCCTATCAGCAAAAGGAACAGGCGCACCACAGCTCAGCAGGTGGCAAATCAGTTCCTTGCTGCCTCAGGAAAGCAGATCTCCCGAAAACTGTTGCCAGACGTTTGAGGGGAGGAGGACTATACGCACGCACACCTGTTGTGTGTGTCCCATTGACCAAACAGCACCGTACTGCCCGTTTGCAATGGTGTCGTGAGCATCACAATTGGACTGAACAGGACTGGGCATGCGTACTATTCTCAGATGAGAGTAGGTTCAGTCTGTCATCGGATTGTAGACGCCAACTGATCTGGCGCGAGAGTGGTACTGCTTATCGTCCAAAACATATCCAGGAAAAGGACCGATATCCGACATGCAGTATCATGGTGTGGGCCGGCATCATGATCAATGACCGCATGCGCCTACATGTGGTTGCGAATGGGACTATGAAGGGCCAACGATACATTGATGAAGTTCTACTTCCTCATGTTCGTCTTTTCCGTGGTGCTGTCGGCGATAAATTTGTTTTTATGGACGACAACGCAACATGTCATCGAACACTCGCTGTTCAGGATTGTCTAGACAGCTAGGGTATTCAACGTCTCGTACAGCCAGCACGTTCTGCATATCTAAACTCCATTGAAAATGTGTGTGGGATGCTTTGGGGAGGCAAGTTGCTGGTCGAAACTATCCTCCGACAAACAAGAACACCCTCATCCGTGCACTCACAGAGGAATGGGATAAATTGCCTCAACAGCTGCTGATTAATGTTGTGCAAAGTTTGGTACGACGTGTGAAATGTTGCATCACACTCCACGGTGGACATATCCCGCACTCATACCTTTTAAGGTGCCTGGGCTGACTTTTAGATGCATTGTTCCATTTCTCCGTACGCAGATCAAAATGAAAATTTTTTTTTCTTTCAGATGTTTCACAGCTTTTGTACTTTCCAGAACAATAAATATTCTTCAATCTAATGTCTGAACAGTGTGGCAAACTATATTTT